CGGCCAGTCTTTATACCGATCCGTTCATCATGCTGTCCGGTCTGTTAACGACGTACTCGTTTGTAGGCAGATTGAACAGGACCGGAACGTTAGATATCAAAACTGAATACTTATCGCGCTTGCTGAGGTACTGATAGCAATGTATATGTCATAATTAAATAAATGTGAAAATATCTAATCCTTTTAATACTCACAATGTCCGATTTTAGATTGGTACCGACTCTAGGAGCGCTGATATTATTTTGTACTCACATCATGCCGTATATCGGATCCGGACCGCAGTGGCCATTGGTGGTGACTAATCACGCCAATATCTGCAAGAAAACGTGGTGGCGTAATTTCTTATTTATTCATAATTATTTTGGATTCGAAAATATGGTAGGTAAAACGCATAAAATGTATGCAAAATAATTGTTTTACGCGAGAGATAAAATCATTTCTCCAAAATACAAAAAACAACTAAAAGATCTCTAAAAAATATCTATATTAGCACGTCTTTAAAAGAAAATTTTCAATGTTATTTCGACTCTTCTACGTCAAGATTTAAATAATCCTTCCCGTTTTCAGTGTCTTACGCACACGCATCATGTGGGAATAGACACGCAATTATTTGCGGTTTCACCCGCAATGGTGTTACTCCTATATAAAAAACCAAAGATCGGCGTCATTGTACTTGGTGTAATAGCCCTGATATCCACGATGTTGAGATTTTACGTCACGTATACCAGATATCTCAACAATTATGTATATTTTGGCACATCGTAAGTAAATCACGTGTTATATTAACATTGAAAAATAATTAAATCCAATATACATTATTCGCATATTCTTATTTTCTTGACAGGATAAGACAGTTATTCGATACTGCCGATTTCTCCTACTCATTACCATCGCATAGATTAACCATTTACATTATAGGCATCTTTGTGGGCTATTTACTTCGGAATATACCTAAGGATTTTAAACTGAGCGCAGTGGGTGGCATTGTATTAAATATAAAATTTTCTTCTGATAAATATACTAATTTTTATAACGCGCGGATTTCAGACAGCTCTCTATACAGGTTGGATTGTGTGCACTATAATGTTCTTGGCATCTTTTATTGGACCCGCTAAAATGGGATCAATCGATTACGTATACGATCCGATCCACGCAGCTACTTATAACGCGTTCGCTCCTATCGGATGGTGTGGGTTGTTCCTTTGGGTGGCTATAATACAGCATACTGGCAATTCAAACGGTAATTATTGAAAAAGCATATTAATAATAATGCAAAATTAACAATTTGCAAATAATACTCGTTTGAAAGTAACGTGTGTCGTACAATCACAGGATTCTTGAGTAAATTATCCTCTTGGCGAGGATTTCTTATTACTACAAGGATTAGTTATGCCGTTTATTTAACGCAATTCCCGATATATTTCTACAATGTTGGACAAACCCGCACTGCGGAGCACTATGAATTTTTCAGGATAATGGTAAGTCTTGAAGATCTGAAAAAGAATCTAAGTGGAATCTCTTCAAATACATTATTTCTTTCACTCATATGTATACATATATACATTTATGAAGTTATTTAATTATATATGTAATATTAATTATATCTCTAATACGTCTTTAAATTTTGTTTCAGATAAATTTGAAAGAAATAATATGGATTATTTGCATGTCCATAATTCTTACGCTGCTATTCGATTCACCATTCCAAAATCTAAAAAATTATTTATTGAAAAAACCAGTATTGCAAAAAGATAAAACAAAGTCATCCAAAATAGAATAGATCTCTTTTAACTTGAATGATTTCGACTAAATGTTTTATCTTGATCACAACATTCTAGAATTTTGTACATATTAGTGTTTTCAACCCTATTGATATAATTAATGTCTAATATGAAAACTATTAGGTAGAGAGAGAAGTTATCATATCAAATTGAGTCATAAATATTTTTTTCTACGGAAAAATAATTAGCAAAACGAATCAAAAAGTGTCTTCTAAAAAAATTCTCTCTTCTTTTCTTAAAAACCTGGATATGCATTTTAAATAATTATAAAAACATATTTACATAAACTTTTCCATATTTACATAAACTACTTTGCACATGTAGCCATACAAATATAACTGTAAATATTAGTTTTTCATTATTTTTCATACAACTCTGATAAACTTAATATGTTTACAAAGAATTATTATGTATAAGTTTTATATTTAGGCAATACACAATACTATATAAATCATAATTTAAACAGATTAGCATTGAATGCTTTAATTCCTCTGGCCTCGCAACATAAAACGAATTATTATTAATAATATAAAGCAAATTTAAAAAAGTAAATAAAAGCAGATAACCAAGAAATTTGTCTATCTATAAATCAGATGAAAAAGTAGTTAACCTAAAGCAAAAATAATCAGCTACATAATTAAAATACTATAATATAATTAAATTATATCTATATAAAATTTGATTACATATCACCAGCACAATACATCAATGTGGAAAGATAAAATTTTAATATCTCGTAATTATTGTGTATATGTACAAAAGTGCCTTTTGATTAGGAATATATTGCTCAGGAAGTTTTGGACAATAAAATATAATTATTGTTAAAAATATTAAATACACATTTCATATATAATTTTCTTGTCTTGTTCTTTACTTCTATGTCTTACATATATTGTTCGAGAAATACAGTTTACACATAATTTCTTGAATACAATCCTTGATTATTACATACAGAAGAGCATAGTAAAAATAAAAAAACTGTTTAGATTATGTTATAATATTATACATACAGATGCAGAAGTAAAACTTAAATTAAAATCTGTTATATATGTTCCAAACATCGCTGAAAAATATTTTAATCTTGCCAAACATAAAATACATAATGTTTGTATATAATTGTTGCAACACATCTTATCAAATAAATCAAAAACATATTTGCAACATTAAAGTAAACTTATAAAGTTTTATAGTAATCCATAATAATTATATTACGATATAACTATACGATATAAATATTAAGTATATTTACATAGAAGAATATATATGTATATATATATATATGTGTGTGTGTGTGTGTGTGTTTCATTTATCAAAAATTTAAACACATAAACGTACGAAAGAAAATAGTATTTTGAATTAAATCGAAACAAAAAAATGCAATTCATTGATATACACATTTATAGTTATATAAATGTTTTACAAAAAATTGTTTCCAGGAATATTTTTTTATATATCATAGAACACAAAAGTCATATGACAATTATCTGTTCATATACTCTTAATAGTACTCAATCATGAAATCAGTTGTAATTAACTTCTTTTATACATGTTGTTATGTATACGTTTTGCAATAGGCAGATGATATTACAAGAAAGCTCTAAATTGAGGCTGTGTGTGTTTTAGCTGAAAATGAAAGCATAAAATAATATAATTTAAAGAAAAGAAAAACAATAAATGTATTAATAAATAAATTACAGTTTTGATTATTATGTCCTATATCTTAATAAATTCTAAATACTATAATTTTTAATAAGCAGCACCATTAAAAATGTTTAATTATACCATATTAGACATGAATATGATCATACTTGATAGGAATATATATATGCAATTTATATATATATATATATATACAGGGTAAAGCATCTAAAGCAGGCCACCTGAATAACTCGACTGTTTCTGCATTCGAGCGAAAATGCATCAGACCAATTTTGCTTGGTTTCAAGGGGGACATAATCTGATGTCAATAGTTTTTTTGTAGGTAGAAGTGTGGAGAAGATGCTGCCGAGAGAAGAAGCAGTCGAGTTATTCAGGTGGCTTGTTTTAAATACCTCATCCTATATATCTCAATAACACATAACGCACACTTATGCGTCAGTTCCAGTTATAAACTAGTTATAAATGCATCAGTGGTACAGCAATATTACTTGAGTACATGCAACATATTGCATAGTATATAAATCGAATAGATGCTGAAACGACTTTTCAAATTATATCGTAAATTTTATACTAGACATATAAATATATACTTTTGCTCGATAATCTATACTTTTGTATTATATTTTTATATATATTGTAATTTTTCATATATACGTATTATTTCACATATATGTATTAATAAAACTGATTCTCTTATAGGATAAAGCATGTAATAATAACATAATTATTAGTTTCCCGGAATAAAGCACATTATTAAATTAAAAATTAAATCGACTTGCACAACTTAAAAAAATTATTAATAAAAGTTTAGTGCTAAAATTACATGCAGCATGTATAACACATATATATATTCTCTGCAATATCTCTATATCAAAGATATAATCATATTGAGGAAGCAAAATTGGGCACATAAAATGTGTGTTTATTTTTCTTATAATATATTAATATACTTTTAATATGCAATATTTCAAATTGCATTATTTGGCGTAAATATATGTGATTAGCATTTCAATGTTAGATCATAAGCAGAGAAATGTCTGTAACATAAGATTTTTAAATTATATTTAGATATATATAGATATATCTATGTGTGCTTAACGTTTATCATAATTTATTCATTTCACATTATATGACACTAAGTCATAGATACCTGTTTCACAGGCTGTTGGATTTTCCTTCCGATAAGTCCAGAAACTTAAGAGAAATCTCTATTCGGGAAAACTGCAGGTGCTATCAACGACCATACATAAAGAGCCAAACACATCCATGAAGAAATAATCTTCACCCACATCGAAGCAGCATTCGCATTTAAGGTATCCAGACTGGAGTTTGGTCTATGAAAATATTATAGTAATACTGATGCACATCAAAATAATATGTTAATAGTTTAATATAATAATACAGATACATACTTATACCAATTTGTAAGTGTCATCATAACGTACAAAGTAGCGAGAGCAAACATGAGATGAAAGAAACTCCAGTGTATCTATGTGTGTGCTTAACGTTTATCATAATTCATTCATTTCACATTATATGACACTAAGTCATAGATACCTGTTTCACAGGCTGTTGGATTTTCCTTCCGATAAGTCCAGAAACTTAAGAGAAATCTCTATTCGGGAAAACTGCAGGTGCTATCAACGACCATACATAAAGAGCCAAACACATCCATGAAGAAATAATCTTCACCCACATCGAAGCAGCGTTCGCATTTAAGGTATCCAGACTGGAGTTTGGTCTATGAAAATATTATAGTAATACTGATGCACATCAAAATAATATGTTAATAGTTTAATATAATAATACAGATACATACTTATACCAATTTGTAAGTGTCATCATAACGTACAAAGTAGCGAGAGCAAACATGAGATGAAAGAAACTCCAGTTATATGCCACTTTTTCTTCTTCATTATCCCAAACTTTGGTATCATTCCCACCTTCTGCATCGGCATTGCGTCCTTCTACTGTAGTATAATCTGGTTACATTTAGGGAAAAAAAAAATAACACAAAAGAAAAAGCTACTAAATTGCAAATAAAAAAACTGAAACAAGCATAGTTTTTCATATAAATGTGTTTTTAACAATAATCTGTTGTAAAATGCATGCATTTGTGCATAGATGTTATTTTATCACATACATATATAATGAAATTATAATTGCAAAAATATGGCAATTAACCTGTATTGTATCTTTAATGTTTAATTTCAATATTATGAAAATTATATAACGATTGCACATAAAACAACCATATTTATGTCTACAAAAATATTTAACAATGGCAAACAAAAATAGACTGATACAATAAACAAATGTAACATAAGCAAGGGAATAAAGATAAACACACACTAATTACTAGATCTATTCAATACTACATAATTATAAAAATATAGAAGATGCTTTCTATTACATATATAAGTAAACTATTGAACACATTTTATCTGTGCAAATATATAAAAACATATTGATATGTATTTTTTAAAGATGTAAATGCATATAATCAGAACGCATAATCAGAAAATAAATTCTATTTGTAAGATGTAGTGTGTGCCTACCTTCACCACCAATAAGAGACTGCTCTCCTGCATTCCTAACTATATAGAAAGATTGGTATTTAATACAACTATCTTAATTTTTATAAGATTAAATATATATAGATGATAGAAAGATACTGTGGGTGCATTAAAAAAGATAGTTCTGTGAAGATATTCAATACGAGGAACGGCACGCATTTCCAAAATTGCAGTCACTAAGTCACATATACAAACAGCTATTAGACTAATATTTACCAGCTCCATTATCCTGAACGAGCACATTCTCGGACATTGTAATCTTTGATGATTTAGATGCTGTACGTAAGGAACTGTATAAAACGCAGCTAAACCAGATTATAAGTCCAATAATACTTTCCTTGTCAAATGTGACACGATTTTGTGCATTATTAGAGAATAGAAAACCAGGATTGCACTGACGATCTATAAATTAAAATAGTAATAATAAAAAGTAATAGCAATCAAGAAAATGATCATATATATATTTCTAGCTTACTCTGAATCATTTATATCTACCTGGACTGTTTGATATACCACTCCATGTTAAGTATACCACATATAATGTTAACACAGAAGACTGAAGAAGCCCTGATCGCGGTTGATATTCTTGTACAGTCGGTAATATTGATATGATACTAATAATGACACACAGAATCAAATTAAATGAAATGAAAAATTTGTTAAGAGCACATGTATTTTCCTGTAAATATAAAACAATTTTAGATAAGTGTACATATATCCTTGTAAAGCAAATCTATAAATCTGTACTAAAATAAAAATAAATATAATTAATAATCTTACATGAGTATAATATATATAAAGTAACACCACTCCAGTAATAGAAACAGCATAATTGAAGAAAGATGCACCTAATAGTGCAGCATACCTAAAAATTGCATGTATTGATAACAAAGATGTCTGCTATATTTACATTATTATAAAAATATTCTCTTACCATCCTTTTGATTCAGTCTCCTCATAATTTGCTACCCATGCATCAGACCAAGAATGAGCAAAATCAACAATCAGAATCAACTGAATAATTATAAAGAGAAAACCTCCTAACATCCCAAAATACATCCAAGTAGATCCAAATGAATTTTCTGGGATAAAGAAAGCGCCAATGATTCCTCCAATTATCAAAAGATACTTGATTGCCCAAAATCTGAGAATTTTATGTAAATATTACAAGAGTTGCAATTTTAATCAGCAAGACGTAACTATTTCAATTACCCATTTTGTATTGGTGCTCGTGGATCTTGTGAACTTTTCACTCTGACCATTATTACAGACATCAAGAAGAAATACAGAGAAAGAATGAAACATATTCTATAGACTGCTAAATAACCAACTGCAGACTCGCAGTCGAGAGTAAAGTCTGATGGAACATAACTCGAACTATTTGCGCAGAATGGAACCTATTTAAAAATGGTATATATAAGACATTTGATATATATATATATATATATATATATATATACATATAAGATCATTATATATGTCTTTTTTTCTAATTATTAAAAATATTTCTTTACCTTTTTAAGAACATTCTGAAGTCCTGGAGCCAGAGTAATGCAGGCTGCAATAGTTCCCAGCAATAAAAGCAACGCATACATAATGCGAGTGCTTGTGCTGTTCCTGCACGAGGGACATTGAGAACAACAGAAACTGCAAGCTGTGCTTCCGCACAAGCACGCAAGCTATACAGCAAAAAAGAACAGTGTAGGACACGAATCCATGGTATTTATAAATAGATAAAACAAAAAAATACAATAGTAATTTCTCAAATGATATAATTTAATATCTCTGTAATAATCATTAGTTTTATCGTACCAAAAGATCTTTAAAAAATACATAGCACTTATATACTATATACATCCTAA